GGTGGTGGTTGGGGGGGGACGACTGTGTAAAGGCAGGACACAGGCCCTGTTGGCCAGGCTGGGCCAGCACCACTCTGCTTCTACAGGCAGGAGTAGGGCAGGTGGCAACAGCCTGAGGGGAAGGGAGGTGCTTTGGCCAGGGGTGGCACTGGGAGGGGTGGCTACAGGGGGGGCTAAGGCTAATTTTGAGGTGGCCATAGCCCCCCAAATCCCTCCCTAGTGTTGCTCCCATCTGTAAGAGACGGGAAAGGACAGAGACTCAGTCCAAGTCCCTTGGATTCCCCAAGTGAAAGGACTGTACAAAGCTAATGTTCAAAGGGCCTGTTCAACATTGGTAACAGGAGCTAATCTTTTGCAAATCAGAGGCACCTAACAGTCTCTCTGTATTTGGCAGCAGCTCCAGGGCTCCAGAAGGCATTACTCCTGCCTCAGAGTCTATCAGAATATTTGTGTGCCTTGGTGATCCCTATGAAGTGGTTGCTTGTCAAGTTCCCATAGGAAATAAGTCCTCCTCACCAAGAATCAGTGTTACAAATGCATCCTTACTAGAATGATCAGTAAAGAGGTCAGTAACTGAACCATCCTTTTCCTTCCACAGGCTCAAGTTCATTGTTAAGGCACATGGATGTTATGAAAGACAAAAAAAAGGAAAAAAAAAATGGAAATAAATGTAGGAGACAAAGAATAATGCATGAGATATCTTTTTTAAAAAGGAAAATGGACAAAATATATTAAAGGTACAATAGGCAAAGCCAAATATAAAGTAAGAACATTCATGCACTCTACCCCAACGTATCACCAAAGGAATTCACAGTAAATAACTGAGTTATAAAAACTTCTGTTTGCTTTTGCTTCAATCACTCCACTGGTATATTGTAGTTCTTCCTTCCACTGGGCAGTGAGTCTGCCTTGCTATGCGTTTGCATGGTACTTGGCACAATTGGGCTCTATTGCTGACTGGGTCCTTTGAGCGCTCACTAAATACATGGAATACTGCAGACATCTGTGCTGTTGCCACCTGTATAACAGACTTGTTTATACACAGCAGTATCTGGGGACTGCATGGATAGGAAAGTTATGGCAAATCTATTAATATTATTAGCATGCTCCTGTGGTAGTATTTTTCGTTTTCAAAGCATCTCACAAATATGAAGCATGCTAACTTAAGCCTCACACCACCCTTGCGACAGAGGGAAATATCCATCCATCATCCTTTTTTTCTTCCCCGCGCCCAAAGGAGTTACTGTGGAGTTCTGAGGCAGGAAGATGAGGCGATTTGCTAAAGGTGACACAGAGGATCAGTATCAGAACCAGTCAATCCAGAGCCACAACACAATTAGTTCCACATCTTACATGCTTTCTTGTGAATGGAATGAATAGCAGGTTACTGTGGTGTCACGTGTGTGCGTTCCATGGTGACAGCTCAACAAGCATGGGTTTCCCTGAAACTATCATTCCTGTTTAGACAAGGGATAGCAGGGTTACCATTGAAAGTAACTGAAATTAACCGCTGAGATTACCTCTCAGGATTGCACTATCAATAAGTATGCAGTTACTAAAATCAGTTACTTCAACAGGTAAACTGGTTAGGTCAAATTCTGCTGTTTGTACTCTGTGGCAGTTATTGGGCACTGCAAATGCATCTAGCACACTGCACAGAAACAAAAAGAGCAGTTTCCAAATTTAGGGTCTGATTCTGCAGCCCCGACCCATGGGAGTTGTTCCACTGAAGCCAATAGGACTTGTGTGACGAAAGGTTGCAGTCTCGGGCCCTACATTAAACAAAGGTAGATACTGCAACTAAAAGTGGGAGAGGAAAGATATGGACAACTGTAACCTGAGTTGTATTATGTTGCACAGGCAGTCTGTATTTTAAATGTTTGCCAGTGTAAATTAAAGAGAGCAGAACAGGAAGGGAAGCTGGAGAGACAGTCAGCTGAAACCTAGCCAAAGACAGTGGATTTAAGAAGGGGTTTGAAAGATGACCAGGGACCTACTTAATTCATGTTTTCACAGATTTCATGGAAACCATGAAATCCAGTATTGTCCATGAAATCAGCAATAAAAACTTAATAAAAATTAAAAAAAAACAACCCTCCCAGGAGGGTCCTCACTGCCAGAAGGCGAAGGTGGTGGGGCAGCACAAAGGGCAGTAGGCAAGATGGCAGCTACCCCATTGTCCCCCCCTCCAACCCGCAGGGTCTCTCAGCCAATCAACACCAAGGGCTGCAAAAAGGGAAGCTAGTAGTCAAGATGACAATCATACCCTCATTTCCTCCCTCTCTCCATCCGGGCCACTCTGCCAATTAGCACTGAGAAGCAGGACCTCTCTGCCAATCGGTGCCAAGGGGCAGGGCCGCCACAAGATGACTACAGAATTAGAGCTTTAGGCTGTGATCAACCTGCAAAAATTAGTAAGTTCCTCTGTGATTTAGGTGGACCCCTAAAGATGAGTGAGGGCACCGCGTAGTTCCATGAAGAGCATGAAAATAAAGTGTACAGGCATAAGTAGGAGAACACATGGGGCAACACAACACAGCATCAAGCTAAGGCATAGGCGGGGAATAGGGGCTGAGATCTCTGCAGGGGCAAGGGAGGGCAAAGAATTTGAACCATAGACATGTATTTACTTGGATTTGTATGGTTCTGCAATGTAAACATTGTCTGACACTTTGGGCACTCCTGACAACCTTTCAAAAAGACCCAGGATGGTCAATTAACTTGACATCAGATAAACAAGAAATAACATAACAAAAACTCCCACATAATCTTCTCTAGAGTCCCACAACCATTGCTGCCTGACTCCACTTCAAAACATCTTGTTATGAAGAAAGGAAAATGATGCCTTGTGAGGTACTAACAAACTATGGCAGGAAGTAAAATGCTGAAGGCTTGGGGTCCTTTCTGTTAGCAATGGGCTTCTAGCTCAGGAGTCGACACAAGTTTAATGACACTGGCAGGATCCTGAACGAAGACAGAAGAAAGATTCTAGGGAAGTGTCAGATGCTCGAAGTAGCAGGCAAGGCACATTCTCCTGGCTACTGTCTGAATGTCAGTCAGCTGAAGTAAACATGAGATCTGATCCACAGTATCCAACTAATAATTTATATTTTAACAACCATGTATGCAAATCACTGTTAAAGTATATAATGGCTGCTTCCAAATTATGCCATTGCTGGTATTTAATTCCTTATTTTTGTAAAGCAATGGGAGATGCCACGAAGGAGGAAATATAATGCTGATTATTAGATTATACCAACAAGATGTAGTGGTAAGGGGAATATGCGTTTTCAGTTGGCTTTTTTTCAATTAATGGTTTTCCTTGCATTGGCGCAAGTATCCCCACCTTTTCCCACCAAGCAAACAGAGAACTTTCTTCATAAAGAAAGAGGGAAGACACACAGTTCTTCATGGAACGCATTACAGTATGTTCCCCTGGCTTTCCTGCAGGTTATGGACTGCTGTGGTCAGCTCTGTAACTCCCCATAGCAGGCCTCCAGCTCTGCTAATGTTTTATGCTCCATTCTGCCTTTTCTGCATAGATGTCACACTCCAAAGCAAGCAGGGGGACCACTGATGGAAGCATCAATTCTCAGCTAGCCTGAGGGACAGCAGGAAGGTAAGGTGAAGGAATACAGTGCTCGGTACAAGGAGCTCCAAAAGACACAGGTGCAACAAATGGGCTATCTGCTCCTCCTACCACATCTTGGTGACGACAGTGAAACTTACCTTTAATTTTATTTCCTGAATCCTACTCATTCAGGATTGTGCTTCATGTAATCAGTCTGTGCCATTTAAGACAACAGCATTCCTTGCCATGAAATACAGCAAAATAATACAAGGCAAAAGACCTCAGTATAAACACACATTATATAATTTCTGAATGAATAAAGGCTGTAAACCTCCAAGCCCCACATCCTATTATCTCTCTAATGAAAACTCATGACGAGTTTAACCTGAAGTAAGGAATAATACAATATTTCTATAGAGAAAACAGATTTTGATTAAACTTTTTTTACCCTAGAGTCCAGCTGCTGCATATAAGACCAAAGATATTCTATATTGGCTCCAAAAGGATGGACATGAAGAAACGTGGATATGATACCTGCATTAAAGCAAATGCATAAAGTCTTGAAATTACCTGAGACAATATATCAGACATCTTAATAAAATAATTCTGAATAAGTTTCTCTGCGTGTTTTTCCACCTGATTTATGATTCTCATTTTTCATACACAACCCAATAAATTAATGAAAATAGCACATTTTTTAATACAGTCATAATAACAGGGTAAACACAATCCCTCATCTTCAGGAATGACAGCAGTGTGCAAGTAAGTGACCAAGATTATTAACTGATGAATAAAGGGATTTCTAAACAAAGACTTGCTGGAAGCATTTCAGCTACCAATTTTATGCTTGATTTACCAATGTAAAATTGTGGATATTGAAATGGTAAAATTATGGCTTTTTCTCCTTCAGTGGACATTCTGTTGTGAAAATGTTTCATGTAACTGTGTCACAAAATGGACTCCCATGAATTTTCCAAATAATCACTGTGGGCACGTGCAGACGTGCAGCATGCAGCACTGCCAAACTGTCTGGGGTGCCACATACCACACACACTGCACATGCAGGCATTCCCTGCACTGCTGCTTTGCAGCATGGGGGGAGGGGAGGATTGATCTTGGGAGATACCAGGGTCAAAAAAACCCATGCCTAAAAAAAGCAGGATGGTGCACATGGCGGCAGTGCATGCCACCCAAAACCAGAGACTGGCTGGCTGATGCCATGTTCCAGCTGCTGGCCAGGCTCCTTGCTGCAGGACCGCTGTGGCTGCAGCTCCCAAAGGACCCCAGATAAGGCTGCTGGGGTCAGCACAGTTGCTGGGCCCATCCTCCCCTACCCCACCTGGGGTAACATGCCACATGCCAGAGCGTGCATGGAGCGTGCATTCCCCATGGACAAGTAATAGCGACACACAGTTTGCTACTATTGCTTCCATTCCCTTTCAGCCATTTTGTTTGTCACAGGCAGATGACAATACACTGTTCTATTCTATAAGCCCTTGTGCTGCTGTTACTTGTCCCTGGGGAAACGCATGTTTCCACTCATGAGGACGTGCCCAGTGTTGCTAGTTATGAAAAGCATTTAATCCATACTACCCTCAATTGCTGTTTGAAAGAAACACAAATCCTTCCTGAGGCAGCCAAAGTTCTTTGGGTAAATGGGATATCTTTTATTAGACCAACTAAATAGTTGGAAAAATTGTTGTTTGCAAGCTTTTTGGTACAAACACCCTTTCTTCAGGCAGAGGGGGAGTGCCTGAAGAAGGGTGTTTGTACCTGAACACTTGCAAACAACAATTTTTCCAACTATTTAGTTGGTCTAATAAAAGATATCCCATTTACCCAAAGAACCCTGTCTGCCTATGTCCTTAGACCAACATCTCTACAACCAACACCCTCAAATCTTTTCTTATTTACTTATACTTTTTTCCTTACAAATGGACAGGTCTGTCTTTCTTCATTGTAATTTATAGGATCATTTGAAGAGGTCTGGGAAAAAAGGGTTTGGAAGGAGTCAGATTCTAAATCTAGGGTTTTTCCCATAGTGAAAATCAAGTGTCAGCATAATAGCGATGAATAGAGAAAGCAGGATGTTGGATGTCAGCATTGCTATTAAAAGCATTAGCTGATTCCTCCCCATAAACAAACGGAATATGAAGTGGTCATCAGTATATATAACTATTTGCTGAAAGTTGAAGTAAAGGATCCAGGAACAATATTTTAACGCACTTTAGATGGGTTTCTTAACTAAGAAACCTAGGGGGAAGTTCCTTATATTTAAACACCAAGATTTATGGTGTATATACATTAGAATAACAGGTTATTATATCTTGTATAATGTAAGTCCCACTACTAGTGTTGAGAGTGAAGGAACCAAGATACATCTCGACTAAAACTTCTCCAAATATTGGCAACAGTACAAGAAGACAGGAAATCTTTTAATTTTGTATTAGCATTGCAAAGAGCATCTGTTCCACTTTCATACTTCCAGTTATGCTTGCATTATTATGCTCATGGTCTAGATCACAGCTGTTCAACTTCTGGGCAACCAGGAGTCCAAGCTGTGTGGGCCACAGTCCCAGGGGCTGCATGAAGCTTGGGCCACAGATTGAAAGCCGCTCACTATGCAGGCAGCTTAGCATACTCCCCACTGCATGCTAATTCTTTGTGGGCTGCCAGCTGGACAGCTCTGGTCTAGATCCTGAAAAAGAGTTACTTTATATGATGGGACTCAGAGAGATTTCCAGTGCACTGTGCTGAACATGAAGTACATCTCTAAGTCTTTGCTGGATCAAGGTCTTTTTCAATCTTCCTAGAGCTGTTTCTGAACTAAAGCCCACCAAACCTTGGAAGGAAGATAATCCCATTTTTCTAGTGATACCATTTTATTATTGAATAAGCCAAAATGTCAAATCCAAACACCTCCATGTCGGGGTGTTCAAAAATTCAGATACCTTTTCCATGCCTTTTTAAGGCATCTTTAAGTAATGTGAATAAAATAAAAGCTTCCTTGAACATATGCTTATAATTACTGAGTGGGGTTACAGAGATGCTAACATATTAGGAACTCTGCTTTTCTTTTTTTTCTTGAGAAGTTTAATGCTTGTGAAATACTGAATGGCAATACCAATGGCAGCTTTACCTCATCACGTACTTTAGGGAGTGCATTCTCAGTAGGTGAATAGCCAACCCCCCTGAACTTAATGGTAAACCATGCAATGACTTCAGGAGACCCAGGTGTTCATCCAGTATGTCATAGGTGAAGAATGTGTACAACTAGAGATTTTTAGTTGAATAATGTCAGGGAACCTTAACTTTCCAACACCAGATGGTACCCTTAAACAATTTCCTTGAAGTACATTCTCTTCATATCCTCATGCCAGTTACCTGGCACCTATTGTGAAAGAGTAAATGCAACCTTCTTAAGGTATCCATTATACACAGTTTTTTCATCAACAGTTTACTAATATTGCTTCCATTCTCTTTCAGCTATTTTTTTTGTCACAGGCAGGCGATAACATATGCTGTTCTAGTCTATAAGCCCTTGCTTAGTACAATTACATTCTGCATCTATCTGTAATAACGATACGAGCAAAAGAGCAGATCCTGCAACTCTTTCTCATATGAGCAGTCCTTATGTTAAATTCAGTAGGAATATCTGGCCGAATAAGGTTTAATTATGCAAGTGAGGATTATAGGAATGTTCCTACTACAACCACTATGCATCCAAGTGAAAAAATAAGTATTTCTGGTACAGTGAAGATAGAAGCAAATATACACGGATGATAAAACTTAGTTTCAGGTTGCTTACTCTCATAAGCTGAGTTGTCACAGGCAGTGCTGAACTAGTGCTGAGTTGTCTTACCTATTAGCAGCGCTTCCTTCTCTGATTTTAGACCTTGGCTTCGCTTCTCAGAATTTTTTTCTCTGTCTTGGTTGACCAATGCTACTGTCAATACATTGACTTCCTATAAAGTTTAAAAACAAAACAGGTGCTTATGTAGATTTCATTCCTTTCAATTAAACCTGTCTGTTCCATTTCAACTCTATAAAAAGATCATTACTTAAATTTACACCTAAAGACAAGACAATTATAAATAACTGATTTGTTTGCAGAATATTAATTAGTCTTCTGAAGCACGGTTTCTCTAGTAGAGACATTTTCTGTATATCATAGGTGCCAACTTTGACTCTACTGATTCATTATTAGATAATACTGAAGAAAGTTACCTACTGTGAGAGAAGGTTAGAAGATCCCAGTTTTTATCGAATAGAATTGGGACCTCAAACTCCTATGAAGATTTCATCTTAAGGAAAACATTCAGGTTTTACTGTTGGACTGTTTTTAGTTTTCTCAGGTGGCTTTGTGGCAGGGGAAGAGGAAAATTAGACCTGTGTAGTTGTTGGGGATTTCAGGGGATGTGAATAATCCATATTTTAAAAAGAAAAGTCATTCATACACATTTGGTATCCTAGCAACTGTTTTATGACTGAAAGATTGCCAGCAGGATAAAATGAATTTGAAAGTTCTTCTCTTTCTCTTTAAAAAATCTTAAGTTAGCTTCCATTTTAATAGTCCCCCAAATTGAGGAAAATTAATAACTACACTCTCTGTGAGCTTCTCCAACTTGTCCATATCCTTTCTTGGGGGGGCAAAACCAGACCCAGTACTCCAGATGTGGCCTTACCAGTGCAGAATAGAGGGGAATAATTACTTCCCTCGATCTGCTAGCAACACTTCTACTAATGCATGTGTAAGAATGAATGAACACGGATCTGACAGTCATAGAAGAACGCAAAAGCCTGTAACAGAACACATCAACCACCCTGGGCACTCAATTGCTGACCTCAGGATTACTGTTCTCAGGCAGGAAAAAAAAATTAAAAACAGTTTGAATGGGAAATTTCAAAACAAGAACTCATCCACAAACGGGACTGTGTTAAATACGGTTTAAACAGGGACTATGGTTTCTTACCTCATTACCCAGATGACCCCTTTGTTCCTATCAGTTCTTTGCTTGTATGTCTCCCACAGCATTCCCCCTCCTCATTTCTCCCTTCTCTCTCCTTCCTGCTTTCCATCCTATTGTTTTCTAATCACTCACTCCACTTTATACTCTGCTCTATGCTGCCCTTTCACAACAACTGATGAAGTGAACTTGGATTCACTGAAGCTTATGCTCTATATTATATTATTTAGTTAGTCAGTAAAGGTGTGTATCTATCCTGCCTTATGACTGACTTCATACTAACATGGCTAATGATCTGCCTCTTATTTAGGGATCAGTGGTAAGAGACCTGGCTTACAAACCAGCTACTGGGCTGAGAGGAAGATTAACAAGAATATAGGAAGGGACCCAGGAGATCTTGTCTAGAATGCTTCTAAAAACAATCAATTTGGAGAGAGGAATGAGTGACTATGGAGATGTGTGGTCCCCAGACACACCAGATTAGCAGTTATGGGTGGGATGGTAAAGTTTTGTCTAGTAGTGATGCAGGGAAAGTAACTATACCACCCTTGGGAACAGAGAGCAGATGGAGTTTCATTTAATGGCTAGATCTGAGAGTGTACAGAACACATTGCATAATTTAGAATTGTGTTAATGGACACTAAAGAAAGTCACATCAAAACTTCCCTGGCTGAAAGGATCTTGGGAGTATAAAGCCTGGAAAAACTGGTGCTGGGAGGTGGTGAGGACAGCAATGACCAAGAAAAGGAAAGTGTAAGAAGGAGATTGCATGCAATTAAGCAAATAAGAGCAAATGGACTTGAAGACAATTCTTTGGTACAAGACTAGTTGCTCTTTGGAAGATAATAAAATGGTGATATTGAGCCATTCTGAAGAGTTTGACAGCCACTACAACAAGCCTGGCTTAAAAACTCAGGCTGTGGTAAAAATAAGAAGTGCTAAGAACTGTAAAAGACCAGAACGTTGGTAGGAATAGGAACGTTGGTAGGTAAAATATACCAGAACGTTGGTAGGAATTAACCATGGAAGTCAAGGGAAATGAGCATATTTGCAGAAAACAAATCTTGAAATTTGTAATGTTAGTAGCTAATTATGCTGTACTTTAGGTGCATATCTGATAGAAATTACACCAGTAGGATTTACACCTGTGCAATATATTTGTGTTCAGGGGGGAAAGGTGTGGTTTTTATAGGTATAACATTTATGCTTAAATACAAAAAAAGGCCTCAGAGTAGTTGGGCAGTTAATTTAGGAGTGCTGGATGAGTCTACAACTTATAAGAAGTGCCACTGATTGAGACCTGTTGGGTATTTCATCCCTCTGACATGAGCACTGGTGTCTATTATTGGTGGTCCGTTGAACATAATTTGAAAACTACTGCATTTTAATAATACCTCCATTTTCCAACAGAGTTCTTTAACTCTTAGTAAGAGACCATCTCTGCTTGGCAAATGATATTCTCTGAGCCCTTAAGCAGTCTCCTTTAACAAGTTTCATTATAGAGGGAATTTTTTGCAACCATCTGTCTGCTGCTGCAATAGAGGACAGAGGGTGGCTGAACAAGTGAGAGAGCAATATTCATTAGAAATGAAATGACCTTGAAAGGACTAAATGCACTACATGGACAGCAGAATCCAGGTTAAACAGTGCTTGGAAGTCATTAGGGACTAGGTCCCCGGAGTACTCATTATGCACAAATAACATCCAGTGTGACAGAACAGGAAGGCATGATTAGAGTGATACAGTAAAGGTTAGACAATATAAGAGGGAAACCAAGAGGCATTGGGGCACTTTTCTTAGCATGGGTGGACTCATTTTTTAGGATTCTGTCACAAGTACCAGTCACAGAATTTCCATACAAATAGGACCAGATTATTACCTTGATTTTTTTCCCCTCAAATAGGTGATGACAAGTTATGAATCCCACACCTGAATTTTGTTAGAAAGATGTCACTGAGCCAATCAAAGAATCTCTGTGATTCTGCAGATGATGCTCTGGGTGACCTCTTCACATCTGGGGCTATGGGATCTGGATCAAAGAAGGAAAGGCCAGTGGAGTGTCTCTCTCTGGAGAAAATCTCCCTGCAAGGTTACTATGAAAGATGAGGCTGCCATGTGAATCCTTGTCTCCTAAGGACTCCCTGCATTTTGGCTCTTGGTTCTGATATGAGTAGAGAACTACTATGATTCTGGCACTGCCAAAGGAAATATAGAGGGCCAGAAGAGGTTCTGGGTCTCCATACAGTTTCCATAGAGGTCCTCTGAGAATGGTTGATTTCTCTGGAGCCCATGAAATTTCAGCAGGTTAGGAGGACCCATCTCTGTGGATAAGGCAGAAGCTTTCATACCCCACTACAGGATGATTTTGAAGAAAACTGGAGTTTCCCAACTCTCCTAGAGGAAAGCACAACATGGCCCTTTGAAACCAATTGCTAGACACCACATATCACTTACAGAGTTAGAATGTGGCCATCCTCTGTACTCGTACAGGAAGGGTAGGTGCAATGTGAGAAGTCTTTTCTCTCTCCTGCTTGGCTTGGCAAAATCAGACCCTGTATGCTTCCATGAGCACAAGATGATCTCTGAACTAGCACCCACGTTTCTTAACCACTCCCCTGCAGTGAGGAGAGACTGGGCCACAACTCACTTTGCCACCACACTCCCTCCACACACACCAGCCAACAGAGCTGCACCCACCTAAAACAGGCACAGTTGCTCAGCTACCCTGGAGTGGCTCCTGTTGTGATACAGGTCCAACTTTACTCCTTGTTCAGGGCTGCGCTTGACAGGCACAACTGGGACCGTAATGCTTGCTGCTTTCAAGGCTCTGCTACTGGTTGCGTGATCTGGATGCAAATTTCAATTATCCAGAGACTTTTAACATGCCTTCAATTATCTGGATAATCCAAAAGCCTGATAATTGCCTGAAAACTATTGCTTGCTGAGTGTCTTAAAAATGCTTGTTTCCTTTGCTGCAGTGTGTGGGATTTTGCAGGATTTTGAGGGGCGCTGAGGATATTATGTTTTGTGACGCACCCAAAAATTACCACAATTTACATGAGTTCAGAGCTTGTGTTGCCACCGGCGCTATATACACAAAGTCCAATTAACAACTGCTTTGCACAATTATGCAAGCAGTGGCAGGAGGAAAGGAAGCAGAGTAGGAAGTTACTAGGTGTTGGGCACAGCAGGCACTTAAAGGAGCAATTGCAGAGTGCTGGCAGTGCATAAGCAATACACTACAATTTCTTATCAGCCCGAGGCCTTCTCAAAAGAAGGATGAGTAGCAGGTGAAAAGCTGTATATCTGAAACATGAGCAAGAGGCACTCAGGTCATCAAAAGCAGGGTGAGAGATGGTATAGGCAGAGAAAGTAAAGGTGATTTATGTTTTGAAGGAGAAAAAACCATGGGGCTAAACTCAGCAGTTCTTGGCTGAGCAAAAGTACTTACATGTGGACTACAGAATGTAGTTACTTTAAACACATGGGCCAAATTTTACTTATTTATATTTGGGTGGGCATTGCTAGTTATTTTATGGTAGCAGTGAAGAGAATTTGGTTTTCAGTGTTAACTTCCCCTCTTTTGTATAATAAACAACTCCTTTGGATTTGCAGACTGGTTAAATCTCTCTCTATAATCACCCACAATAATAATTTAAACTTGGTGTCCAGCTCATCTTGGGCCTAATTCAGTGCCTGCTGAACTCCTTGGGGGTCTTTCCTCTAACTTCATTTTACAATGGTTTAGGGCCAAGTTCAGTGAACACCCAGACAGAGCTCAAGGTCCAAACAATAAAGATATTTACACAGTTCTGCTTTTTAACTTGTTCTCTCTCTTGTTTTCTGATTCTATGATGGCCGTTCTTTATAATTACTTGACTAAAGATACTCTGACACTTACAAAACCTCTATTATTATTAGTGTGCTCTTTTGGCAAAGTCTCAAATATCATTAGTTTTACTTTAGCAAGGGAGCTGTTTCAAAGAGCTGTTGCAATG